AGAGATGGTGACGGCTGAGCTTCCTGATGACGCGATTCCACGGAATGCATTGAGGCCTAGCTGTTGTCATCACTTCCAGTCCCATAGCACGTCACTTCCAGTGGTCTGGAGTCCACTCGTGGAACGCACGCCGGCCTTGATAGACTGACTGGCGGCATTGCGGTTTTATACCCTGCGATTATTCAGTGCCTGGAGTGGCAGTTGTCCATGTGAGTGGATCTTTGTCTTGTTTTGTACCTATTTTAATAAAACTTACTATGCTATGGAAGGCATCTGTTTTTTTTTTGTTTGTATTGTCATACATGTTATAAGTATACATGTTATAAGTCTAAGAAGAAGATCTTGGAATGATTGTTTTTTCCTTCAACATTGAGGAAGATCTTGAAGAGATTGGTTTCTCCTTTTGTATTGCCTGGTCTGTATGGTACGCCTGAACCTGATCTAGAGATCCTGAGGTGCCTGTATTGCTTGATTATATGAAAAGTGTGAATTGAGATTGGATCTGGTAAGCCTCCCATTCTATTGCACGTTGGTGGTGAAGAATTAATTTGTTTATTATATTATATATATACATTGGTATCAGGTGAATAATTGGAAAAGGAATTTTTATTTTATGGACACTTCACGTTTTGGATTGTATTATATATTTATGTTTAAATATGTAATTATATCACTGCTCATTCTTTAATTAGTTGTTGATCACAAGGGTCTAGCGCCTTTTTATTAATATTGATATCAAGAGTGTCAGTGCTTTGGCGACAAAGCACTGATTTGTACAAAACGTGTCATCATGGTAACCAGGATTTGTTTGTCCAAGTCCCACTCCAGCTGAGGGTTTCATGGTGGCTGCCACTGGCTCTCCTGCACTTCACTGAGGTCACTTCTGGCGCGCCGTGATGCCACTTCCGGTGCGCAATCTCCAGTGACACTGTGGAGGTCTTCCTGGTTCATTTGGGAGATACCACATCGGGTTTTTTGTTTGTGGATTTACATTTTACCATCTGCTGCCCTTATCCCATTCTTGCATCCATCAAGCTTACCATCTAGACCTTCCACAGCTATGTCATCCTCTCGGTAAGCCGCTCCCTTTTACCTGTTACTAGTATGTGAATTGTGCCAGTTTTTTAGTGCCACATTACCACACTGGATGTCCTGGAATATGGTTTATCATTCATAGTTGTATTGAACTATTACACTATTTGATTCAGACAGATTTGCTTTTGGGTAGGTATGTCATTGTTTCATCACACTGTGTAAGGGAATTCCCGTGAGACGGCTGGCGAATAGACGTGCGCATGCACACAGAAATGCGCGATCGCGCACATGCACGGCGAAGATTGGCGCCAGACGGACTATTTCAAAGGTGCCTCTGCCTGTGCTGAGTGCTGACTGGTCTTCAGCTGTTCCCTGTTTCCTGCTTGTTCCTGTGTGATTTCCTTGTTGTTGACCCGGCTTGTTCCTGACCAGACTCTGATTACTCTCCTGCTTGATACTTGTTCCTGACTTCGGCTCTGCTCCTGACTTTGGCTTGCTTATGATTTGGTACCTCGCTGTTCGCCCGTTGATGACCCTGGCTATTCCGATGACGTTGCTCCTGTATCCCATCTCTGCTTCCTGCCTTGCTCTGGTGCACACCTGGCGACCTACCATACCAGCTCTGCATATCACTACTGATCCTGAATCGGAGGTTCATCAGTCTTCCAAAGTCTCCAACTGCAAGAGCTGCAAACAACATCTGCTGGCGCTCTTGTCCCCCTGGTCCCTAGACACCCTCTGTTCCACTTCCAGTGGGGTCAGGGCTAGTCACACACAAGTGAGGCCGACCTCGTCATTTCAGTCTCCAATCAGGTACGTGACAGTACCAGTCAGCCAGTGATGGAGTCTGAAAGGGAGGCCTCTGCAATGGGGGACATCTGTCAATCAATTTCTGCCTTGTCTTACATGGTGCAGAGTTTGCAAAGAAACCTTGAGCACAAGGAAAACCAACTACCAACCAAGTCAGATGTCTCAACAGCCATGGGTCCCTCTGCCATCTCAGACATAACTACCCAGACAGAGCTCAGCATGATTCATGAAACTTCTCCTCCACCGGAACCCCGGGTTCCAATACCTGAGTTTTTCACGGGAGACCGCAGGAAGTTACAAACCTTTCGTAACTCCTGTGAGCTATATTTTTCTTTGCTACCAAGGACCTTCGCATCACAAAGCACCAAAGTGGGATTCATTATTTCACTCCTTCAGAATGAACCCCAATCCTAGGCAGACCACCTTCGTGAGCAACATGATCCGGCTCTGACTTCTACGGATCTTTTTTTCTCAGCGATGTCACAACTTTACGCTGATCCCTTCCATCGTCAGACTGCAGAATCTGCTTAGCAAGCTACAGCAAGGCCAAAGGCCTATAGAGGAATATGTCACTGAGCTCCGTATATGGAGTTCCGACACTCAATGGAACGAAGTCTGCTCTCTGCCATCAGTTATGCCTTGGTCTCTCTAACATCTTGAAAGATGAGCTTGCTTGAGTTGGGGTACCAACCAGGCTAGAGTACCTAATAAACCTAGCCATTCAAATCGACCGACGGCTCCGGGAAAGGCAGGGTGAAAGAACTAGCAGGGGTGTCTTGATCTGCTCTGAATTTGTCAGGGCTCCGGGAATGACCAGAGGTGTGTGGACCGACACAGGGAAACAAACCTAAACTGATATATATATATATATACAGTGGGGAACGAAAGTTTGGGCACCCCAGCTAAAAATGTGTATTAATGTGCATAAAGAAGCCAAGGAAAGATGGAAAAATCTCCAAAAGGCATCAAATTGCAGATTAGACATTCTCTTAATATGTCAACAAAAGTTAGATTTTATTTCCATCATTTACACTTTCAAAATAACAGAAAACAAAAAAATGGCGTCTGCAAAAGTTTGGGCACCCTGCAGAGTTAATATCTTGTACTGCCCCCTTTGGCAAGTATCACAGCTTGTAAACACTTTTTGTAGCCAGCCAAGAGTCTTTCAGTTCTTGTTTGAGGTATCTTTGCCCATTCTTCCTTACAAAAGTCTTCCAGTTCTTTGAGATTTCTGGCCTGTCTGTCACGCACTGCTCTTTTAAGGTCTATCCATAGATTTTCAATTATGTTGAGGTCAGGAGATTGTGAAGGCCATGGCAAAACCTTCAGTTTACGCCTCTTGATGTAATCCCCCGTGGATTTCGAGGTGTGTTTAGGATCATTATCCATTTGTAGAAGCCATCCTCTCTTTAACTTCAGCTTTTTCACAGATGGCATCAAGTTACCAGAAGAACCCATGGTGCTGATTGTTGGGGCAAGGTCAGATGAGTCTGGGCATTTAAAACCTTTGAGATTGACATAACCTGGTCTTCCCACACGATGATTGAGAACAATCCATGACACTGGCAGGTCTCAGCTTTGCAAAGGGGGCAGTGCATGCTATAAATTCTGCAGGGTGCCCAAACTTTTGCAGACGCCATTTTTTTGTTTTCTGTTATTTTGAAAGTGTAAATGATGGAAATAAAATCTAACTTTTATTGACATATTATAAGAATGTCTAATCTGTAATTTGATGCCTTTTGGAGATTTTTCCATCTTTCTTTGGCTTCTTTATGCACATTAATACAAATTTTTAGCTGGGGTGCCCAAACTTTCGATCCCCACTGTATATATATATATATTATATATATATATATATATATATAATATATATATATGGAGCACAACGTAGTCAGGTGGGCCGGGTCAGTAGCTAATGGGCAAACAGGGTACTAGGAGCGAGCGGAAGAGTGGTCAGGAATAGCCGAGGTCAGGACAGGCGGAGTTCGTTCAGAGTCAGGTTCAGAGTCAGGTTCAGAGTCAGGATCAAAGCAGGATCAGGCAGGAAGCAGACAGGATGCAGGTACAGGGGCTCATGGGAAACATACACCAAGGCACTGATCACAGGCCTGGTCCTGCTTAAATACACACCTCCTGCAATCAGCCTCAGGTGATGGCCTGATTGCAGGAGTGAGATACTGGCTGCTGAGAGCACCAGCTGGCCAGCCTTGGTACTGCAGCCCACAATGCAGGTGAGTCCCACCACCATTGGCGAGTCCATTCCTGACAGTACCCCCCCCTCAAGGAGTGGCCTTAGGACGCTCCAAACAGTCCTTAGTGGGCAAAATGTTCCACTGCCTGGGCCAGGTAACTGGCTGGATATCAGGGGCTGGCACATCAGGCTGGGCAGCGGGCGGAGGCACATCAGGCTGGGCAGCGGACGGAGGCACATCAGGCTGGGCAGCGGACAGAGGCACATCACTCTGGGCAGCGGACATAGGCACATCAGGCTGGGCAGCGGACAGAGGCACATCAGGCTGGGCAGCGGACAGAGGCACATCACTCTGGGCAGCGGACAGAGGCACATCAGGCTGGGCAGCGGACAGAGGCACATCAGGCTGGGCAGCGGACAAAGGCACATCAGGCTGGGCAGTGGACAGAGGCAAATCAGGCTGGGCAGCAGGCAGAGGCACATCAGGCTGGGCAGCAGTCAGAGGCACATCAGGCGGAGCAGCGGGCACCGGCCATCAGGGGGGCAGCGGGCACTGGGCCATCAGGCGAGGCAGCGGGCACCAGGCCATCAGGCGAGGCAGCGGGCACCGAGTCATCAGGCAGAACAGCGGGCACCGGGTCACCAAGCTTGACAGCGGGCACCGAGTCACCTGGCACGACAGAGGGCACCGAGTCACCTGGCACGACAGCGGGCACCGAGTCATCTGGCACGACAGCGGGCACCAAGTCACCAAGCTCGACGCGGGCACCGAGTCACCAAGCTCGACAGCGCGGGCACCGAGTCATCTGGCACGACAGCGGGCACCGAGTCACCTGGCACGACAGCGGGCACCGAGTCAACAAGCTCGACAGTGGGCACCGAGTCACCAAGCGTGACAGCGGGCACCGAGTCATCTGGCATGACAGCGGGCACAGAGTCACCAAGCTCGACAGCGGGCACCGAGTCAACTGGCAGAACAGCAGGCACCGAGTCACCAAGCTCGACAGCGGGCACCGAGTCATCTGGCACGACAGCGGGCACCGAGTCATCTGGCACGGCAGCGGGCACCGAGTCACCTGGCACGACAGCGGGCACCGAGTCATCTGGCATGACAGCGGGCACTGAGTTATCTGGCACGACAGCGGGCACCGGGTCACCAAGCTCAACAGAGGGCACCGAGTCATCTGGTAGAACAGTGGGCACCGAGGCGCCGAGCCACGGGCACCGAGGCACCAGGCAGGGTCGGGTCATCAGGCTAGGCTGGATCAGGTCATCAGGCTGGATCACGAACACCGGGTCATCAGGCCAGATCGGATCATCAGGCCAGATCAGGTCATCAGGCCGGATCGGGCCATCAGGATGGGTAGCGGGCACCAGGTCATCACACTGGATAGGATCATCAGGCTGGGTAGGATCATCAGGCTGGATCGGGTCATCAGGCTGGATCACGAACACCGGGTCATCAGGCTGGATCGGGTCATCAGGCTGGATCGGGTCATCAGGCTGGATCACGAATACCGGGGTCATCAGGCTGGATCGGGTCATCAGGCTGGATCGGGCCATCAGGCTGGGTAGCGGGCACCAGGCCATCACGCTGGGTAGGATCATCAGGCTGGGTAGGATCATCAGGCTGGATCACGAACACCGGGTCATCAGGCTGGATCGGGTCATCAGGCTGGATTGGGTCATCAGGCTGGATTGGGTCATCAGGCCGGATCGGGCCATCAGGCTGGGTAGCGGGCACCAGGCCATCACGCTGGGTAGGATCATCATGCTGGGTAGGATCATCAAGCTGGGTAGGATCATCAGGCTGGATCACGAACTCCGGGTCATCAGGCTGGATCGGGTCATCAGGCCGGATCGGGTCATCAGGCTGGGTAGTGTACACTGGGTCATCAGGCATCAGGCTGAACAACGGAAGGTGAGTTCTCAGACAGCAGGCTGACCGGTTTGGATACTGGTAGGATGGTACTGGTTGGAAGGAATTTTCGCTTCTTCTTGGGTTTAGTTACTGGGGCACTGCAAGTAAATGCAGGTCTGTAAATGGATGGAGTAGCTGGGGACAGAGAAGAGCTGGAGGGTGGAACAGAGGAGGGAATAGTTGTTACAGCGGCCTTTTTTACAGGGTTAAAGGTAGGATAGGTGCAGGGAGTGGGAAGAGGGTACTGACATGTGGTAGATAGCAGGGTATATTGGGCTGTCACTGGGGGTGCTGTCGGGAATGCAGGAATAGAGCTTTGAGCAGAGGAATGATTAGAAGCAGGACGGGTTTGTTGCAAGCTGCCTGAGGCTGGGTGTAACAAGTCTGACCAGGACTGTAGTATTGGTTGAACAAAACTCAGCTTACACATAGCCTGTCTGACCAAAGACTGCACTGTGTTTATACACTCCACTAGCACATGTGGTGAACATGCTGAATAATGCTCCCAGAAGCAATCTGAGTCTGATAGGCATATTCTCTGTCATCTAAGACTAGCAAATACAAGTATATAACCTCCTCAGGATGCATCCTTCCCAACAACAAGCCAAGATGGCTTCCCTGTGCAGCCACTTCTGGTCAGGAATGGCCTTGGTGTAATGTCAGGGCTCGGGAATGACCAGAGGTGTGTGGACCGACACAGGGCAACACAGACTTCAGGTATAGCATGTAAACAAGATCATTTATTAAGGACAACACAAACATAAACGCAGTGCAATAAACCAAACCCCAAAACTAACACAAATACATACAACAAGGTGAAACAAACCCAAACCTAAACTGATATATATATATATATATATATATATATATACAGTCATGGCCGAAATTGTTGGCACCCTTGATATTTTTCCTGAAAATCAAGTATTTCACACAAAAAAGGTATTGCATTAACACATGTACATTTTTGCTATACACATGTTTATTCCCTTTGTATGTATTGGAACAAATATAAAACAGAGGCAGAAAAGCAAATATGACATAATGTCACACAAAACCCCAAAAATGGGCTGGACAAAAGTATTGGCACCCTTAACTTAATATTTGGTTGCACACCCTTTGGAAAACATAACTGAAATCAGTCGCTTCCTATAACCATCAATAAGCTTCTGACACCTCTCACCCGGAATTTTGGACCACTCTTCCTTTGCAAACAGCTCCAGGTCTCTCTTATTGGAAGGACACCTTTTCCCAACAGCAATTTTAAAGATCTCTCCACAGGTGTTCAATGGGATTTAGATCTGGGCTCATTGCTGGCCACTTCAGAACTCTCCAGCGCTTCTTTGCCATCCATTTCTGAGTGCTTTTTGACGTATGTTTGGGGTCATTGTCCTGCTGGAAGACCCAGGATCTTGGACGCAAACCCAGCTTTCTGACACTGGGCCCTACAGTGCGACCCAAAATCCTTTGGTAATCCTCAGATTTCATGATGCCTTGCACACAGTCAAGGCACCCAGTGCCAGAGGCAGCAAAACAACCCCAAAACATCATTGAACCTCCACCATATTTTACCGTAGGTACTGTGTTTTGTTCTTTGTAGGCCTCATTCCGTTTTCGGTAAACAGTAGAATGATGTGCTTTACCGAAAAGCTCTATCTTGGTCTCATCTGTCCACAAGACGTTTTCCCAGAAGGCTTTTGGCTTACTCAAGTACATTTTGGCAAACTGTAGTCTTGCTTTTTTATGTCTCTGTGTCAGCAGTGGGGTCCTCCTGGGTCTCCTGCCATAGCGTTTCATTTCATTTAAATGTCGACGGATAGTTCGCGCTGACACTGATGCTCCCTGAGCCTGCAGGACAGCTTGAATGTCTTTGGAACATGTTTGGGGGCTGCTTATCCACCATCCGGACTATTCTGCGTTGCAATCTTTCATCAATTTTCCTCATCCGTCCACGACCAGGGAGATTAGCTACAGTGCCATGGGTTGCAAACTTCTTGATAATGTTGCGCACTGTGGACAAAGGCAAATCTAGTTCTCTGGAGATGGACTTGTAACCTTGAGATTGTTGATATTTTGCCACAATTTTGGTTCTCAGGTCCTCAGACAGTTCTCGTCTCCTCTTTCTGTTGTCCATGCTTAGTGTGGCACAGACAGACACACAATGCAAAGGTTAAGTGAACGTCTCTCCTTTTTATCTGCTTTCAGGTGTGATTTCTATATTGCCCACACCTGTTACTTGCCCCAGGTGAGTTTACAGGAGCATCACATGCTTGTAACATTCTTATTTATCCGCAGTTGTGAAAGGGTGCCAATACTTTTGTCCAGCCCATTTTTGGAGGTTTGTGTGACATTATGTCGAATTTGCTTTCTTTCCTCCCTTTTTTTGTTTTGTCCCAATACACACAAAGGGAATAAACATGTGTATAGCAAAACATGTGTTAATGCAATACGTTTCGTGAGAAATACATGATTTCCTGGAGAAATATCAAGGGTGCCAACAATTTCGGCCATGATTGTATATATATATATATATATGTATATATATGGAGCACAACGTAGTCATGCAGGCCGGGTCGGTAGCTAACGGGCAAACAGGGTACCAGGAGCGAGCGGAAGAGTGGTCAGGAATAGCCGAGGTCAGGACAGGCGGATTTCGTTCAGAGTCAGGATCAAAGCAGGATCAGGCAGGAAGCAGACAGGATGCAGGTACAGGGCTCATGGGAAACATACACCAAGGCACTGATCACAGGCCTGGTCCTGCTTAAATACACTTCCTTTAATCAGCCTCAGGTGATGGCCTGATTGCAGGAGTGAGATACTGGCAGCTGATAGCACCCGCTGGCCAGCCTTGGTACTGCAGCCCACAAGGCAGGTGAGTCCCACCACCATTGGCGAGTCCATTCCTGACAGAAATAGAGACTTCTGTCCCCTCACCCACTGCTGTCGCATCAGACATACTCTCCAGCAAAAGGGGGCTTCGTAATTCTCCTCGTAGGAGCTATTGGAGACCACCTTTATCCTCTGCTGAATGTCTTCGCCAAAAAGACTCCAACCTTTGCCTCTACTGTGGTGATGCGGGTCACTATGTAACATGTCCAGTGAGACCTCCTAAGCCCTCTCCTAGCTGGTTTCATATGATGCACCCACAAGGAACAAGTCAAACGCTCCTCTCCTTCCTTCTTCACTTGCAAGTTGCTGAAAAAAATTTCTGTTTTAGCAATTATAGACTCTGGTGCCTGTAGCTGTTTCATGGATTCTACCTTTGCTAATCAATACAATATCCCTCTCTGTACCAAGAAACAAAGATTTTCGGTCCATCTGGCTGATGGCTCTGGTATCAGTTCTGGCCCAGTGATGCAAGAGACTATGCCAATCTTCTGCCACTCATCCTCAGGACATCAGGAACTTCTATATCTGGATGTCATAACTTCACCAATGTTTCTGGTCATCCTCGGAATGCCCTTGCTAAGGCCACACAACCCATCCATCAACTGGCTCTCTGGGGAAATCCTCTTTTCTTCCAAGTACTGTCAGAACCATTGCATTCCAAAGGAACCATGCGCAGTGACTCCTCTTCTTAGCATCCATCCTGATTCAGAGATGATGAGACTTGTCCCTGCTGTCTACCATGATTACTTGGGTGTATTCAACAAAAAGAGTGCCAATGCTCTTCCCCCGCACCGGCCCTACGATTCTCCTATTGAACTCCTACCTGGTGCTGAGATCCCTTTTGGGCGAATTTACGCTCTCTCCGAATTGGAACTAGAGGTCCTCCGGAATTATATACAGGAAAGCCTGGAAAAAAGGTTTATTTGGCCCTCTACATCACCAGCGGGAGCTGGCATCTTCTTTGTCGAAAAGAAAGATAATACTCTTAGATCATGTGTGGACTATCCTGATCTAAATAAGATAAGTCAAAAACTGTTATCCTCTTTCTCTAATTCCAGAATTGTTCCAAAGGCTACGATGGGCATGTGTCTTTTCAAAACTAGATCTGAGACGTGCATACAATTTAGTCAGAATTCGTGAAGGGGATGAATGGAAGATGGCCTTTCGAACACGCTTTGGGCACTTCAAATACCTGGTTATGCCATTTGGCCTTTGTAATGCCCCAGCAACATTCCAATATTTTGTTAATGATATATTCCGGGACTATCTTGATTTATTTATCATTGTCTATCTGGATGACATCCTAGTCTTCTCAAGCTCAATAGAACAATGCTGGAACCATGCGAAGAAGATACTGGGTAGGTTGCGCCAACATAACCTCTATGCCAAAGCTGAAAAGTGCGAATTTGAGAAACAGACCATTCAGTTCCTCGGACTTGTGATTACTCCCGATGGCATTGCTATGGATCCTCAAAAAGTGACCTCTGTATTAGAGTGTCCCATCCCAGGAGACAGGAAAGCAGTAGTGTGCTTTGTGGGATTAGCTAATTTCTATTGGAAATTCATTAAGAACCTTTCCGAATCATTGCACCAGTCACACAGTTAACCAGGCAACATGTTGCTTTCAAATTAACTCCCGAGGCTCAAGCAGCTTTTGAACTAAAGACCTTATTCACCTTTGCTCCTATCCTGAAGCACCCAGATCCTGCTTTAGCTTATGTTCTCAAAGTAGACGCTTCAGAAAATGCTGTTGGAGCTATATTGTCTCAACGACAAGGACTCAAGTCCTTCCTTCACCCTGTTGCCTTCTTCTCTAGAAAGTTAAGCTCCCCCTGAAAGGAACTATGACGTAGGAGACAGGGAGCTGTTAGCCATCAAGGCGGCCCTCAAGGAATGGCGCTTCTTGCTGGAGGGAGCTTCACACCCTATCCTCATTTTTACGGTTCACAAAAATCTGGATTACTTGAGAACTACAAAATGCCTAAGGCCACGGCAGACAAGATGGGCACTTTTCTTCTCCCGTTTCATTTGATATACCGTCCAGATCAAAGAATGGCAAGCCCGATGCGCTCTCTGGCATGTATCATGACCCAATAGTATCATCTGAGCATGACACGATCCTGCCAGCTAAAAACTTTTTACTCCTGCAAGCAGACCTTGTATCACAAATAAATGAAGCGGTTGATGATCATCCACCTTCCTTGGAAATGCATCTTCAGCTAAGGGACGGCCTGTATTGCATAAAGAACAAATTTATATACCGGAACAACTCAGAACTCTCATTCTTAAAAGATGCCATGACCATCCTTTAGCGGGTCACTTCGGGATCCACAAGACCTCAAATTTGGTCTCCCGTTCCTTCTGGTGGCCAAACTTAATGAAAGATTGTAAAAATTATGTTAAATCTTGCTCAGTATGCCTCCGAAACAAGTCTGATAGAGCCAAAACCTGGGGCCTATTTGAATCCCTTCCAGTACCTGAAAAACCATGGAGTATGGTTTTTCTCTGGACTTTTTTTGTAGAGCTTCCCCCATCTGAAGGGTTCACCACCATCTTTGTCGTGGTTGACCGTCTGTCAAAAATGGCCCATTTCATACCCCTGAGAGGGACTCCTTCTGCTGCTTAGACTGCTTCTGCTTTCATTAAAGAGATTATGAGGTTACATGGTATTCCCAGCAATATCGTATCTGATCGGGGAGTGCAGTTCAACTAAATTCTGGAAAGCTCTGTGTGAGGCACTAGAGAGCGAACTTCGCTTTTCCTCTGCGAATCATCCACAAAGGAATGGGCAAACTGAGAGGATAAACCAGACCCTTGAACAGTATTTTCGATGTTGCTCTTTTTACTTACAGGATGACTGGGTGTCTCTCTCTTCCACTGGCAGAATTTGCATATACCAATCCCATGCACTCTGCTACCAAACAGTCCCCTTTTTATGCCAACTATGGATACCATCCTTCCTTCCTCCCTGAAATGCCGGGGGAACCCACTGTCCCGGCGGTACAAGAAAGGCTGGATTTCCTCAATAGGAATGGTCAAATGTTATGAGAAACTATTTTGGAGGCTCAGGCAAATAATAAGAGATTTTTTGACAGATAAAGAATGGGGAACCTGAATCTGAAACCAGGAGATAAGGTTTGGCTATCCACAACAAACTTGAAATTGAGCTGCCCTTCAAAGAAGCTTGGTCCAAGGTACCTGGGACCATTTACAATCAAAAGTAAGATTAATCCTGTAGCTTTTGAATTAATAGTACCAAAGAATATGAAGATTCATCCGCTGTTCCATGTCTCTTTATTAAAACCAACAGTTCCAAGTCTATTTCTGGATCGAGGTCCAGAATCTCCTGCTCCACTGCTTGTTGAAGGTAATGAGGAATATGAAGTAGAAGCCTTCCTGGACTGTAGAAAGAGGGGTGGTCAGACCCAGTTCCTCATCAAATGGAAAGGCTATGGTCCAGAGGATAATTCCTGGGAACTATTCGCTAATGTCCATGCTCCATGGTTAGTTCGAGCTTCCTTCATTTTTCATCCTGTAAAAAAAGCTTTAGTAGGCATCCGGAGGCTGCCCCTAAGAGAGGGGGGCAATGTAAGGGAATTCCCATGCGAGACGGCTGGCAAATAGATGTGCGCATGCGCACAGAAATGCGCGATTGCGCACACGCTTGCGCACGTGCACACGCATGGCGAAGATTGGCGCCAGACGGACTATTTCAAAGGTGCCTCTGCCTGTGCTGAGTGCTGAGTGGTCTTCAGCTGTTCCCTGTTTCCTGCTCGTTCCTGTGTGATTTCCTTGTTGTTGACCCGGCTTGTTCCTGACCTGACTCTGATTACTCTCCTGCTTGATACTTGTTCCTGACTTCAGCTCTGCTCCTGACTTTGGCTTGCTTATGATTTGGTACCTCACTGTCCGCCCGTTGATGACCCCGGCTATTCTTATGACATTGCTCCTGTCCCCATCCCTGCTTCCTGCCTTGCTCTGGTGCACACCTGGTGACCTACCATACCTGTCAAATTAAAAATCTCTGTGTATCCCCAAAGAAAAGTAAATCTCTCACCCTTGAAAGTACAAATATCATAAACCTTTTCTGCAATCCTTCCCCAAAACTCAAATTCTACCCCAAATTTCAAAATAAATCCGAAAAAATGTCCACAATGCAAAGTCCACAGAATGTCCACACTTTTCAATCTTCCAAATTTGATAAGTATCCAATTCGCCACTTCAATCCAAGATACCTCAAAAAAATTAAACTAAATATAATGCATTATCCTTCAAATAATATAATAATCTGTGATGTCATGCAAAAACACTCGTGACAAAAAAAAAAAAAAAGAGATAATAATATATTTGTTAATTAAAACAAAAATTATAAATATAAATAGCTCAAATTATACAATAATATAAACCATGTGTGTGAGGTGAACCCACCTATATGCCCCACTTGTGGAGTTTAATAAATTCACACAACTCAACTTGTGATATAGTGAGTTAATCACTCCAACAGGTGAAATCACAGCAAATCCAAAATATACTAGTGATAAGGTACACTTGTTCAAATTGGTGCCACCACTCTGCTAGGAAAACATTACCCTCTTGCAGCTTGCACAGGCGTTTCACACAATCCCAAATGCCAGATGGCTTTCCTCTTAAGGGAGTACGCAGAGGAATCCTCCCCACTCCTCACAGGGCAGGGAAGAGAAGACTCAGTGGAGTAAATGCATGAAAAATTCAAAATTTAATATCTGCTTACATATAAAAGGGTTAAAAACCGTCCATCCTATTCAAGAACCACATCTTAGATGGCCGCGCTGCTCCTTCCGGTTTTGCGTCTGAAGTCACGTCCCTGACGAAGTCTACAAATTTTCTCCAAATTCTTGAGCATGTTCTATTAGTTGTTCTTCTTGCTTTTAGTAGTGTAGTTGTTCCTCTTGCTTTTAGTAGTGTAGTGATAACTTCAGTTGAAAGGCCCTGTGATTTCAACCTGACTGATTCAAGAGCAAGGCCATTAGTTGTAATATCCCCGAATTGGGA